CCCCCCTTCCTAGTCTCCAATGTCCCTTGTGCCACTCTGTGTGCCCTTCAGCCCCCACAGCTTAGCTCTCACTTATAAGTGAGAACATGAGGTACTTGGTTTTCCATTCTTGCATTTATCTCTAATACTTTTCTATAGTTTTGAGGCTACATTTATCCTTTCCTGGTTTCAGCATTGATGGTTTCTTCTCTCCTTCTTTAGTAGTTTTGTTCATCTATTTTGTTTTGGGGATGAAGGCTTTAAAATCTTCACCCATGTAGCTTTTTTCTTCCACTGGGAGGTGTGATTCATCTGCTTCACTAATTTTATTTTCTGCTTTATTTTATCTTCTGCTTTCTGATTTATTCATTGCTTTCATTCCAGTTCATAATTTAGATTTTCTTTTTTCTGGTGAATGTAAACTCTTTTCTGATCTCACATTTCTTTCCATGACTACCTGCACTGTGTTCAAAGATGCTATTGTGTCCTTAGGAATTTTAAGAACATGAACTAAAAATTTTCTAAAGTTTTCTCTCTTATATAGTACACCTATTTCTTAAGTAAATATTTGCTCTAATTCTAGAATCTTTTTTTTTTTTTTTTTTTTGTACCATAGTATGTTTCATTTGCCTGGTGGGTTTGGATTTTTCTCTGTTGCTTATCCTCAGAGAGGGAAGTCTATGCATATTCAGTGGGTATTGCCCTGTGTTCTTTCAGGAGACTTGTATGAGTCACTGTTTGACTCAAGCCCAGATGAAGGGAAAAGGTTACATTTGCAGTAGATTAATTTACCAATTAGAAATTCATCTTCCTGTGAGGCCTAGGGAGGGAGCCAGCATCAGCTCCAAAAGTAATCAAAGGGAAGTTTGCTTCAAACCAGAGACTTTCTTTTAGGTACTTGGTGTGGCACTCAGTGATTAGCAAGGTCACTGTCACTTGGCATGGCTGCCCTTGCCAGAAGCCAGCTCATAGTGTTTTTTTTCCCCTGCATGTTTTCTGTGTCAGTCATTATGCCACATATAAATCAGAAGTAAATGCAGCCGAGGTTACTTGCTGGGTTGGCTTCTGGAGCCAGTAACCCTTTTAAAAGAATTAGTGTATTTTAAATGTACCTCAACTCCCCCCTGGCTTAGTTCCCTCAGTTCCCATCCCTCTAAACTAGGGGTATCATTATGGGTTTATTGGCTTCTCATTGGCTTATTTTCATGCAGTTGCAGTTTCACATGAAGGGGATTTGTGCCTTAGTTATTTTGTCAGCCTCCCATGTTGCTTCTTTCCAGTACATATTTCTGGAAATTTAAGCAACAGTTGGGATCCATCTGTAGTTTCTAGGGCTGATTCAGGATATTTCCCAGTCTTATAATCAACTGGCCATTTGATTGGTGATCTGGCACAGAGAAATTAGCCTATGTAGCTTTCTTATTTGGAAATTGTATTTTATATATGTAATTTGAATTGTGTGGCAGGGAGGATATTAATTCATACTCATTGGCTGTAGGGGAATGGATGAATGGTCCAGTAAATAAATAAACGGCAAAGCTCATCTTTTGCAAGTGAGAGGCATTAGAGGTAGTTTTATGGTTTTGAGAAGAGCAATATAGATCAGAAGAGATGCCTAGGAGAATAGAACATGGAGACAACTGGGGAAGGCAGAAGGGACCTCAGTAAGGGTCCAAGGGCAACAGGAGAGTCTGATGTCAGTGGGGTAAACCCACCCTGCATTGTGGTTTTCTGTGGGTGGAATACATTTTTGAAGCTTAAGCAAAGGAAATGGAGAGTTAGGTTGATGGCAGTTTAGAAGACTTACAGAACAGGTATTCAAGTACTTGGAGGCATTCAGAGAGGTGTATTTCTTTAAAAATTCTTGTGCAACTCTATAGTTGACAGTCTCGGGCACTGATAAAGCAGGAGACTAGTCCGTCAAAGTGAACCAGTTTACTTAGCTATAAACTGAATGGTATTGCTACTTAGGTTATTGTCTTCTTTGTCTTGTCTAGTTCCGTGATTTGTGTAGTTTTGTAAGTTGGGAAGTAAATAGATTTCATAGATGCAATTTTAAGACATTACTTCCGAGAGAGCTGATTTTTACCTTTGAAGTAATTTTGTTTAGCCCTTGTATTTGGCAGAGTTAAGTAACCGTACACTATTTTATAAAGAGTTTTTATGGTGTGTGAATAGGTTCAACAAAAGGCTCAAAATTAGATATGTCTCAAATACTTTAGGGGAAGGCAGTTAACTTTCTGTCCTATTTTCTTGAAAATATTAATCTAACAATATGTCCTATGAATTAGGCATCTCAAGGGAATGAAACACAAAACAAGGGTAACATCAGTAAAGTTTTATATAGCTGAGAACAGCACAGGGCTCTCTGTCTCGGGGTTACTCTGTAGGTCATCTGACTTTCATCCTGCTTTCTTCATTTTCTGTCTGACTTTTTTGCTTAAAGATTCCATGTACTTTCCATCTCTTCTTAATCTATGTTCATTTGGAGAGTTGGTCTATGGAAAGAGCATGGGCTGTAGAGTCAGTCCTGATTCAGATCTCCACCGACTCACTTCCTGGCTGTGTGACTGTGGGTATGTTGCATAAGTTTTCAAAGATGTCTCCTCTATGAAATGGGTTAAGGATATCTGCCTCAAACTCTATGTGAAATGACTGCCCCAAAGCTTGGCATCCAGTGGGCTTCCATTAAATCCCAGTCCCCCATCTCCCCTCTCCTGTTTTTAGCAATAATACCATATGGTATATTTATTTTTGGGTTACATCCATTTCTATATCTCTTTCCTTACTGCAAGATAGGTGCCTATATCCACCTTTTAGGCAACTCTCTGTATTATAAATGTTGAAAATATTTTAAGGTTAAATTGCTTAATGACTTGACTTAGCTGGAATGATATTGGACCCAAGCATGTCGTATGAGTTTTTAAGGATGGAATCTTGCTTACCTGCTTTTTTGTTTTTTAGCTATTGATATATTCATCTATCTATCTCACACAGAATAGAGCAAGACAATTGAGAATTATAAATATATAAGAAGGAGAGACAAAAAGTAGAAGTGCCCACAAAAATGATGCCAGGAATAAGTTTATAAAACAGTGTACCACGCAGTCCTATAATTTTCTTGGGGTAGGCTTGACACCTTAGTGGTTATCATGGAAAAGGGAAGGCATTCTTGTATACATATACCTTTTTCCTGGCTTATTCATTTAAATTCACAGTTTGCCTAAAATTAAAAAAAAGATTAAAAATTAAATGAGACTTTATTACAGCTCTTTTATTTTTTCTCCTAAAACTGGGACTAAAGAGAATATCAGTACTGTCTCAGGGAAGCTATGGATGAATTCTTTGTTGAATGTTATACCAAGATAGCTTGAGAACTTTACTCTTACTTGTTAATAAAAATAATCACTCTAATAGAGGGGAAGAAAATAGAAAGATTCTACAATTCTAAACAATTAGAACCTAAAATGATTGAATTTTCATAGCACCCAGCAATATCCTTTCTTTTATTCAAAAGCTATTTATTGAGCATCTACAGAGAAATAAAGGCATAATGAATAAGACTGAACCAGCGTCTGCTTTCAGGAACTTCTGTCTATAAAGAAACTTTCTGGTTTCAGCAACATGCAAGATGACACCTGAATACTTTTGAATTATTGGAAAATGATACTTCCATAATAGTAAAAGTAATGAACCACAGAGATGTGGTTCAAATGATTTTTGAATGATTTCAAATGATTGAAATTTTCATTTCATTGCCTAGACATGAAAATTTTTCTTATAAGAATTTTTCTTAAAATGAAAAATTTTTACCTTTTGTACTAAACTGAAATATGGAAACAATCAGATCAAGCTTTGGACAGAGCTAAGGCATGTTTTACTATAGGGAATTTAGCATCATTCTGGGTTTTTGTAATGAATGTATCAATAAGAGATTTGGTTATACTTTGTGCTCATATAGCATTGTCTCCTTGGGGATGTCAGAAGGATTTTAGAAATGTCCTCTTCCTCACGTGTGTGGGACTCTGATTTATGAAACTCCTCACCCACCTGTCTGAGAACCCTACTCTTTCTTGTGACTGACTCCTGTAATGTCGAGGTTTCTTACCTTTCTTTAGTCTTGAAAATGGTAACTAAGTTCCTTGAGAAAATGTAAACATGAAACATATTCACTTTCTTAGGTTTCATACCGGACTGGGAGTTGGGGTTTTTGCTGTAGTGCTGGTTATACCACTAACTAAATGGGTGATTCTAGTCCCTTCTCTTCTCTAAGCCTCAGTTTTTTCATCTGCAAATGGGTAGGGTTGAACTGAGTGATCTCTAACCATTTGATGGTGTTACAGTAGTCCACCCTTATCTGTGGTTTTGCTGTCTGTGGTTTCAGTTACACCAAACTCAGTCTAAAAATACTAAAGAAAAAATTCTAGAGCTTTAAATTGCTTGCTGTTCTGAGTCCCATATGAAATCTCACACCACTGATGTGAAATCATTCCTTTGTCCGTTGTATCCACAGTGTATACGCTACCCGCTCATTAGTCATGTATAGCTGTCTCTGTCATACACAGGGTTCAGTACTATCCATGGTTTCAAGCATCCACTGGGAGTCTTGGAACATCCCTCCCTCACGTAAGGGGGGACTACTGTATTCTCTCTGCCCTTTGTATGTAAACTGTCAGCTCTCAGTTGTGGACCATTCAATTCCCTTATTGTTTAATGACGGGGTGGCTTCTGCCCCTGGCTCACCTTCCCCGTCTCCACAACTTGAAACTGCCTACCCCAAACAGCTAGCTGGTGCGCAGAATTAGATCCAAACCTATGAAAACATATCAACTTAACATTATTTGGATAAATGGTACAGAAGTCATAGCTTTTAGATCTTAGATCTTCCCTACCAGGCTCCTCTTTTCATTAAGATACTATTTGACACTGGGAATAGGGATTTTTGTCTCCTGGCCAATGGGACTTCTCTGCCATGTGCTAGTCCTCTTATGCTAAATGTGGGTTTTCCTATCCTCTTCTAGGTACACAGTTTCTCCTAGTATGACCTCGATCTGATCAGCAACCACGAGAATTCGACTCCTGTGTCCTGCACCGTAGTGCTGGGGCCTGATCACCGTCCACACTGTAGAGCTGTCATGGCTGCTGCCTCTACTTCCACCCCTGTCATTTCACAGCCCCAGGTAAGAGATTCAAACTAGCATGGGTTTGAGCTAATCATGGTTTTGTCGAATATTGAACTTGAGTTTAAGAATGTGTGTTTGACTCTAGGGATCATGTATATTTCTCTCATTATCATTTGGTGGGTATTTGGATAATGGTGCTTTTGTGAGTGAGGTGCCATTTAGTTCAGGAAGCAGCTGGAACAATGAACAAGTGATTTTAGTGAACTGGCCTCTGTTCATAGGGGGCCTTGGTTTTCAGTGCTGAGCATGCCTGTTACGCTAGGCATCAAACTCTAAATCAAGATAACTCAGTAGTAAATCCTGCTGTTTTTCCTCTCTTGGCTTTTTTTGGGTTTAATAAAATATTTTAGAATAGATCTAATAGCAAGTTTTCTGAGTGTTGTCTCATTGTCTTCCTCTTATAATTATGATTTTGCCTTGACCTATTCTGGGAACTTTGAAAGCAAAATGTAATTCTAGAAAGTTCTGAACAGCAGATGTAGCAGTTACTTTTTCTATCCCATGAACAGCAAGAATATGGCTGGGACATTCTTTGTTTAGGTTATTTTACAGTCTGATCTATTTGGGTACTCGCTGAACTCTTTTGGATTCAGCAGAGTGTGCAGTACGATGTGGGAACCGACTTTGGAGTTGTTAGGCCTCAATTCACCACCCTGCTACTCTGATTTCCAGATAAAGAGTTTTAGTAATGCTCGCCTCTCTCAGCTTCAGTTTCCTCTCACGTTATCATACCTCACACTATGGTTATATGGATTAAACGACAGAATATATGTGAAGCACATAGTAAGTGCTCAATAAGTGTGGTTTCCCATTTACTCTTCTTTTATCTTCTCCTCTGTCTAGAGTATGACCTCCCCTCTCATTTATAACAATCATTGTTAGGCCAAGGTTAAAGAAAAAAGTATACCTTCAAGAAAAAGTCATACTGATTGAAATTTAAACCTCGATGATACAGACTGTCCCACGCTTTTTTCTGTAGCATTTTGTGGGCTGTTAAATTTTGTATGTATTTCAAGTAGGGGTGTCTGTGTTTGTGAGAGAGGGAGAAGAGAAAGAGGGGAAAAGGAGAAAAGGGAATTTTTACTTCATTTGTTACAAACTTTCTTTTCTTCTCTAATAGACCTTGGGATTTTATCGTATGGATAAAGTCCGTGCTGTTCTTGAAGCTTTTAGTATTTTTTTTTCTGGGATGTTTAGTATTACTGTCATCATGTGTATTTCTCTTTCTGGTAAATGGATCACTGCCCTTTCAACACTTCGTTTTCTTTAGGTGTTTGGTTTCCCTTACTCTCAATAGTTTTTTTTTTTTTTTTTTGGTGCTTGAGAGACTTGGAGGTTGGGTAAAGAGATCTAGTGCCTGTTACCTGGGGTCACCATTTCAAAGTCCACTGCAGCTGTTCCCATGCAGTGACTATGGTTAGCGTTTTGAGAAGTGAATTAGGCCCTAGTACGGGTTTTGTGGACAAGGCATTCCAGCATCCTGGTGTCGCTGCTGTCATTTGTCAGCATTTCCAACAGCAGCATCTTATCTGCACATCTTCCCTGTTGCATAAGCTACTGTCAGCTGGTGAGTAATATAAATACTTCTCAATGACTCATTTAATTAAAATGTTTAACACTGCCCAAGGTTGAAAGAGGTTATATTTAATAAACACCAGGGGAAATGTGTACTCTCATAAATTCTCTGTGGGAAGTAAATTGGTGCAGTCACTGCAGAGGGTAATTTGACAGTATCTATTAAAATTGCATACTTTACACATACCCTGCCCCCATCTTGGTATCTACATTAGAAAAACACTCACACATGAGCCCAAGGAGGAGTGTATAGTGTATGGAGAGAGTCATTGAAGCATTGGTTGAAAACCAGGAAGTACAAAATGTTCTGAATACCCAGTAGTGAAAAGACTTAATAAATTCAAGTGTGTGGATATGATTGAAATACCATTCAGCAGTTAAAACATGAGGATATCTACAAAGCTATATATTGCTCTGAGATATCTTATGGAAGAAAAAGAAAGCAAGATGCAGAATGATACAAAAGGGCAAAAGTTAGATCTTGGGAGATACAAAACCCATCCAAAGCTTAACTTTACCCAACAAAATCTTATTCCTTAGTATTGAATTTCTCCTTAGGGAGAATTTAAACTTAATTAACATTTTCTTTTTCAGGGTCACTAATAGGAAAAAAAAAAAAAAAGGTCAAGAAACACTGGTTTCTTGAAAGATGCACATGGGCTTTCCAGTCCCACCGCCTGAGTTGAAATCCTGGGCTCTGACATTTACTTATTAACTGAGCCTGAGAGGAAGGTGTTCACTCTCTCACTGCCTCTATTTCTCCACCCGCAAAATGAGCATAGCAATGATGAAGCCAACCTCATTGGGCGGTTTTAAGGATTAAATGAGATAATCTGTATAAAACTTAGAGTAGTGTCTGGCACAGATTACTCAATCCATGTTAGAAAGAAATTTTATTATTGTTCAGCGAGCCCTGTGGCCGACTTGGGGATACAAGAAATGAGGCTTTGGTCCTGCTAGAGTTTAGAAATGTAGTGGGAGATACACAGATAAGGAAACAATTTCCAACACTGTGTCATGAATGCGATGATGCAGTAAGTGTTGGTTGTTCCACGAGTAAAATGGAACATCCAGAAAAGACTTGAAGGATCAGAGAAGGCTTCTTGAAGGAAGACCACCAAGCTGGGAACTAATGTCTATGAGTTATTTTGGTAAAGGAGAAGAAAAAGCGTGTGTGAATGTCAAACGTCCCAAGGTGAGAGAGAGCGAGAGAGCACAGCATTTAGAATTTAGTTTAGGATAGTTGCAGTATAGTGGAGCATGGGGTTGTCAACAGTGATGTCCCTAGAGCCACCTCTGCCAGCTCACAGGGGTGGAGGGTGGGGGAGTGGATTGTTAAATTTTCAGGAATTTTGTGAGCTGAATGACTTCATGCTGGTAGCTTGAAATCAGCCTCAGTGGAGTATTTACACTACAGAAATTGGCAAATGCTAGAATTAGCATAAACGGGTTAGGTTATAAGGTTGGAGATTTTTGCAGGGTCTTGCAAATCATATTAAGGAATTTAACACTGATTGTAAAGAATCAATAGTAGTGTAGTTAAGTGGCTACCCAGGCTTTGGAATCTTAGACCTGGGTTCAAACCCTGACTTTTGATAATGCTATTGAGCAGGTTGGTTAATTAATCTCAACTAGGGTAGATGGGAACAGTGGTAGCAATTGATAGTTGGGAAAGTAAGCGTACTTGGAAGGAGCTGCTATAAACTCTGGTATTAGGTCATGCAGAGAGGTAACTTACTGTTCTGGAGAGATGCAGATCATTGGGTCACTTGGTTCCCAGGATTCTCTGGTCAGTGATGGGCTTCCTGGTATATGTCAGCTCTTCACATGTAATTTGTACAGTCAAATTTTAGCCCGAGGCTGACTTGCCCTTACCCCCATGCTTGCACTGAGGTCTTCTCTCTTATTATCAGTTTTTCCCAAGCTCGGAGGAGGTAAAAATAATTTAAATACAGCGTCTCTTTAGGCAAAGCATAATATGCAGTTCACTCAATCAGCTTGGTGTGGTATTGTCTGGCACATCAACTTGCATTCTTTTAGAGTGAATTCAGGGACCTGTGTAAAGATAAACCCACATTCGAGTGTGAAAGGCTTGAAACCCCTTTTCTAAAGCCAAAACAACAATTTTTTTTAAAAAAGCTTTTGGTTTTGTTTGTTACTCTATTCATTTGGTAACAAAGAGCATTTTTCTAATCAAGGCTGCCTAATACTAGATATAAACTAATTAAAATGAACAAATAGCTTGTGATTGTTTCAAACAAAAATAGGGAAGAAAGCTTCCATTGTCACTCCTGCAGGGATTGCTGTTTAGTTAGTGAAAGATATGCCTTGTGCTTTGAAGTCAGACAAGTTTGTATTGTCTGCTTTACTCCTGCCTGGACTTAAAGACAGATTTTTGTTTTCTCTTGCCAAGAGAGCACCTAGTCCTTACAAAGCTAGGTGAATACCAAGGCAAAACTGGACTAGCAGCAGCAGGAAGACTGTGTGTGTAGCTGATTTATAGTTCTGCTAGTCCAGACACTGATAAAGAGCTTCCTTATCCAAAGGAAGCTCTGAGGATGTATTTGCAGACAGGAACCTGTTCATTAGGTTGAGTTAATGTGTTCATGTCCTTGCATATTGGGGGGTGGGGATGAGGTAGGAAACCAACAACAACAACAAAAAACTTGCCACTCTCAATAGCCATTTTCTGTTCTAGAATTGACTTAAGCACTACCTTGATTGTGTTTGATCAGGTTTCTGTGGATAGAATTTGGATTAAAAGTTTTATTTTCATTTTTATTAATAATAGAAGAGTCAATAGTTTGATACCTGAATGAACAGTTTGGCTTCTCTCAAAGCCAGGACTTGTATTAGAGACCAGAATACGCATCTGAGAACTTAAAAGGTATTCAGTTCTCACATCTTTGATTCCAGTAAGGAAGAACTCTTCCATCAGTGTTTTACAAAGCATTTCTTTCTGCCTCTCATTTACTTGGTGACCATTTTGGTTTTAAACCAAGGACATAAGGATATTTTGATCCCTCTAGGAAATCCTTGATTTCTTGTAGCTTTCACTAAAGATGTGAATTCGGGTAGATTTTCAATGTCTTAATCAAGAGATTGTTCCTCTAATTCTTGTTCAGTGTTCTGATAAAAGGTGATTGGTCTCTACTTGTCTGTTGAAAGACAAGTTTTTTTTTTTTTTTTGGAACGTCATTACTGATAGATTCTCTTAACAAAATACATCATATTAATATTTCAAAAATTTACATTTTGGAAGGTTTTCTGGTATTAGAGAGTAGATGTTTTTTGATCAAAGTAACTAATTTCACATAAAAGGGGTTGCATTTTTTTGAGGTTGAAAGATTGGGTTTTTTTGGTAGTTTTTTTATTATAGTAGTTTTCAAACTTTCACAAAAATAAAAATAAGATAAGATAAT